CCTGAAAAGTTTATTTTGGAAGCATACGATCCGCCCATTTACTTGAACCAATTTTGGGATGAACGATGTTTGATAAGAATTTCGCACTTCATTTATGTAATAGTTTATGGCCGGAAATAGACCAGTTAATACTTCTTTATTTATTTTAAAAATGTACAACTGGTTGGGACATCTCGAATTGCTCGGGCGGAAAATATTGGCTGTAGGCTAGCACGTACTCCCTAAGGTGACTCTAATTGGAAATACTTCGCTTGCTTTCTTCAATCCGACCTAATGTGTCACTTGTGCCAATGGGGATTTACTTCGTCAGCCCTCGAAGATCCGGAATTGGTATAATTTTGGCGTGTCGACACTTCTTTTCGGATTTTGTCAAGTTAAGTCGGCTGCAGCTGTTTTGTCTTTCATCGTCAACCGAAAACGCATTATAAATGGCGTTAGCTCCCCACTGCTCTGCTGGTAGAAGGGACAGGGTTGTGCTAGGCCTGGGTGACCTAGAGATACAACAGACGGAAATAGCTCTGACCGATTCCACAGTTGTGCTTTGGAGCCACGACCAACACCAAATTGGTTAAAGTTATGACAGGCAGTATCAAACCCCTTCGAGCGTACCAGTCGTCGATTCCATCCGTGCAAAACCTTGACAGGCGCCGCAAATAGCCCTATTTTAGGTGTTTTACCAAGCTCACATCGATTCCGCGGATATTTATGATGGCGGTAGAATGTCATGCGCATACTCGATCGCTAGCTTGGAGTTCGACCAGAAGCGACAAAATATGTTTACCAGCTCGTTTCATTGGTCAGCGACCTAGCAGCTATTTGCGGCCGAGAAAACGGGCAGGCAATCAAACCTACCTGGAACACTGTAGACTGCAACTCTTAAAAACAGTCTACGAGGACCTACCTTACCACCATAGTATTCTGCCATGTGAGTATTCTTGAATTACTTGGAGTAGTTTCAGTGACATGCTACGAGGCAGCTCGCTTCACCTCAGATTTCAAAGTATAAAGACAAACGTAGTTGAGAAATGCATTAAATGCAACGAGCAATATTTATCAGTAATAATGACGCTGCTCAAAACTAGCAGTGTTGGTCCACGTGGGCGATGCGTTAGAGTAACACGGGAATT